AACCTTAACATGATGTTTGCATGCGATATCGTCAAAACTGCACAACTTAACATAATGTTTGCATGCGATATTTTGAAGACTGCACACCTTAACATGATGTTTACATGCGATGTCGTCAAAACTGCACACCTTAACATGATGTTTGCATGCGATAGTTTGAAGACTGCACACCTTAACATGATGTTAACATGCGATATCGTAAAGACTACACACCTTAACATGATGTTAACATGCGATATCGTAAAAACTGCACACCTTAACATGATGTTTACATGCGATATCGTAAAGACTGCACACCTTAACATGATGTTTGCATGCCATATCGTAACAACTGCATACCTTAACATGATGTGTGCATGCGATATTTTGAAGACTGCACACCTTAACATGATGTTAACATGCGATATCGTAAAAACTGCACACCTTAACATGATGTTTGCATGCGATATCGTTAAAACTGCATACCTTAACTTGATGTTTGCATGCGATATCGTAAAGACTGCATACCTCAACATGATGTTTGCATGCGATATTTTGAAGACTGCGCACCTTAACATGATGTTTGCATGCGATATCGTAAAAACTGCACATCTTAACATAATGTTTACATGCGATATCTTAAAGACTGCACACCTTAACATGATGTTTGCCTGCCATATCGTCAAAACTGCACAACTTAACATGATGTTTGCATGCGATATTGTGAAGACTGCACACCTTAACATGATGTTTACATGCGATGTCGTCAAAACTGCACAACTTAACATGATGTTTGCATGCGATATTGTGAAGACTGCACACCTTAACATGATGTTTGCCTGCCATATCGTCAAAACTGCACAACTTAACATGATGTTTGCATGCGATATTTTGAAGACTGCACACCTTAACATGATGTTTACATGCGATGTCGTCAAAACTGCACACCTTAACATGATGTTTGCATGCGATATTGTGAAGACTGCACACCTTAACATGATGTTTGCCTGCCATATCGTCAAAACTGCACAACTTAACATGATGTTTGCATGCGATATTTTGAAGACTGCACACCTTAACATGATGTTTACATGCGATGTCGTCAAAACTACACACCTTAACATGATGTTAACATGCGATATCGTAATAACTGCACACCTTAACATGATGTTAACATGCGATATCGTAAAAACTGCACACCTTAACATAATGTTTACATGCGATATCGTAAAGACTGCATACCTTAACATGATGTGTGCATGCGATATCGTAAAGACTGCATACCTTAACATGATGTTTGCATGCGATATCGTCAAAACTGCATACCTTAACATGATGTTTGCATGCGATATCGTAAAGACTGCATACCTTAACATGATGTTTACATGCGATATCGTCAAAACTGCACAACTTAACATGATGTTTGCATGCGATATTGTGAAGACTGCACACCTTAACATGATGTTTGCATGCGATATCGTCAAAACTGCACACCTTAACATGATGTTTACATGCGATATCGTCAAAACTGCACACCTTAACATGATGTTTGCCTGCCATATCGTCAAAACTGCACAACTTAACATGATGTTTGCATGCGATATTGTGAAGACTGCACACCTTAACATGATGTTTGCATGCTATATCGTCAAAACTGCATACCTTAACATGATGTTTGCATGCGATATCGTAAAGACTGCATACCTTAACATGATGTTTACATGCGATATCGTCAAAACTGCACACCTTAACATGATGTTTGCCTGCCATATCGTCAAAACTGCACAACTTAACATGATGTTTGCATGCGATATCGTAAAGACTGCATACCTTAACATGATGTTTACATGCGATATCGTCAAAACTGCACAACTTAACATGATGTTTGCATGCGATATCGTGAAGACTGCACACCTTAACATGACGTTTGCATGCGATATGGTGAAGACGACACACTTTAACATGATATCAGTGATTTTCCATAGCTCTGTGGCGAATCCAACGACTACTAAGTGAATGGATAGTTGTCCTTCACAACAAATGTATTTTTTGATTTATTATAGTAGACTTGCCAGTCTGAATTACCATTGTTATATATGCAGATGACTCTCTGCACTTTACTTGTCATGCATGTGTGTGTATAAAAAGTTAAAACTCATTACTTGTTAATAAATCAGCTATCATATGATATTGTAGGATCTGCCTGCAACTAGCAACATAGCGGACAGGTCAGTGGATACCAGAGAAGATGTTTACAAACAACAACAAACCTATGTAAGTATAGACTTCGGTATGTCATGCTCTATTCTATTCTATTCTATTCTATTCTATTCTATTCTATTCTATTCTATTCTATTCTATTCTATTCTATTCTATTCTATTCTATTCTATTCTATTCTATTCTATTCTATTGAATGATTAGTTAAACTATCATAATTCACACTTTTGCAGATTGAGAAAGACTTGGCCACATTTTTCGGAGAGGGTGCCAAGCAAGAAGACGTTTTAAAAGTAAACACAGGTGCGAGTGAAGATAATATCTTAAAAGAGTTGAATGCTTTCGACATCCCTCTTGACGTAAAGCAGAAAATGGCGAAGGAACGAAAAGAATTACAAGAGCGCATGATTGCTCGAAGACGACAAGAATACCAGCAGAAGAGAGAAGAAGTAGAAAAACATCTATTGCTAGCACAGCAGAAACAACAAGCACAACAGCTACGAATGAAACAATCACGTCCTCGAGATGTGCGAATTGCAGAACGTAAACAGCTGCAACAAATGAACAAACTATTGTCACATGAAAGGAATAAAGAACCTATTAAAACATCACACTATCAACAGAATGACCCGGCATCATCAATCCGTGTTCCTTACAAGACAGACCGATATTTATTTCCAATTCATTTTTATGCTGGTGGTCCTAATTACCAATATAACGACTTTAGGATAGCTCTATCATATGCCATACACCAGAAACGATCCATTGTTGCAGTCAGTTTTGCTGTTCACTTCACACAAGACGAAGAAGGAGGAGCAACAAAATCATTTTCAGAAACGTTTGACGAAACAGAGATGAAGAAAATAATGCCATTGGCATCTATAGAAGAATTTAAAGAAGCGTGTGGCAGTAATTTGGATTTTATTGTCATGAATCCTTTTGATAAATCGAATCGTGTTACAGATAAGTATAAGGATGAGTATATAAGAACAGTAGAAACATTTCGTGAAATATATGGAATAACACTTCCAGAACCATCCATTATCCCCCAGACCCCACAAGATAGCTTAAGAATATACGAACAAAGCATGGAGCAACGATGTATAGGTATCTTTCGGCCCTGGGATATTGACAACAGATATATAGTGCCAATGCGACAAGAAATATACCGCATAATTGATGAACACTTTTTTTGGGCACCATATATACGAAATATTGGAGAACGTGTAGCAAATTCACTGTGTGATGGTAAACCATACATGGCCTTGCATTGGAGAAACAGAACCGGAGAACCGTGAGTATTTGTATAAGGATAACTAGTAATGTTGAAAACCAGAGTGAATATAATAACGAGACGTACACAAGTAATACCCAGTACAATACATCTGTTACCCTAAAGCCATAAGTTGCAGCGTGTCGTAATTTTGCGGTATTTTTGACCGGACCCCACACAATGAAGTTCGCTAAATCTGTTCTAAACGTTTTAGATTTCGGCATTTCCATGTTGTATTCTTGGGAAGAAAAGATATATAATAATTAGGTTATTACGAAGATACTGCACTAAGACAGTACGCGTCGGTCGATAATTTTGCTGTACTGTCTTCGTGCATATTTTGCTATATCCTCGTAATAAGCTCACAGTATAATCAACATCAATGCACGATTGTTCTACAAACTGTTAGATTATTCTGTTTCTCTGTCTCTGTCTGACTGTCTTTCTCTGTCTCTGTCTCTGTCTGTCTCTCTCTCCCATTTTATGTATTTGATCGATCACAGATGTCGATTGAAAGAAAAAAGATCTGGTATAGGAAAGACATTTATTGGTTACGCAAGCGAAACGAAATGTCTACAGCGTGCCAGAGAGTTGCAGTTAGTGAATGAGGTTGCTAGGCGTCTCCCTAGAGATATTTCTGCTATCATGAAGGATTATGGATTTCCCTGTATTTACATTGCATACCCACCATACAGTGAGGTGAGAAAGTGACAATATTCCAAAATTTTATTTTAAAACAATATATTGCTTAATTGGAAATTAGTATCTATATTGATGGATGGCACGCACTATTTATTGCTTGAATGGTAAAATCGCTTCTTAGATGAACAATACTGTATATTGCTGTGTTTGGAAGCATAGGTGCCTAGATCCACAATACTATGTATCGCTGGGCTGAGAAGTCGGTGCTTAGAAAGGCCATACAACGTATCGCTGGTTTGGAATGTAGGTGCTAAGATCGGCAATGCTACCGTGACGTATCGCTGGGTTGGGAAGTCGGTGCGTAGATCGGCAATACTACGTATTGCTGGGTTGGGAAGTCGGTGCCTAGATCGGCAATGCTACGTATTGCTGGGTTGGGAAGTCGGTGCCTAGATAGGCAATGCTATGTATTGCTGGGTTGGGAAGTCGGTGCCTAGATCGGCAATACTACGTATTGCTGGGTTGGGAAGTCGGTGCCTAGATAGGCAATGCTACGTATTGCTGGGTTGGGAAGTCGGTGCCTAGATAGGCAATGCTACGTATTGCTGGGTTGGGAAGTCGGTGCCTAGATAGGCAATACTATGTATTGCTGGGTTGGGAAGTCGGTGCCTAGATGGCAATACTACGTATTGCTGGGTTGGGAAGTCGGTGCCTAGATAGGCAATGCTACGTATTGCTGGGTTGGGAAGTCGGTGCCTAGATAGGCAATGCTACGTATTGCTGGGTTGGGAAGTCGGTGCCTAGATAGGCAATACTATGTATTGCTGGGTTGGGAAGTCGGTGCCTAGATCGGCAATACTACGTATTGCTGGGTTGGGAAGTCGGTGCCTAGATAGGCAATGCTACGTATTGCTGGGTTGGGAAGTCGGTGCCTGGATAGGCAATGCTACGTATTGCTGGGTTGGGAAGTCGGTGCCTAGATAGGCAATGCTACGTATTGCTGGGTTGGGAAGTCGGTGCCTAGATAGGCAATGCTACGTATTGCTGGGTTGGGAAGTCGGTGCCTAGATAGGCAATACTACGTATTGCTGGGTTGGGAAGTCGGTGCCTAGATAGGCAATGCTACGTATTGCTGGGTTGGGAAGTCGGTGCCTAGATAGGCAATGCTACGTATTGCTGGGTTGGGAAGTGAGGGGCAGACCATTTGATATCCTCGGGGGGCAGGAAGATTGAAATGAAGTCTACTTTTTTCCTCTATCTGATATGATTTTTTTTCAGCAGACCTTGTCTCTATTTTTTTTTTTTTTTTTTTTTTTTGCACTCAACAGTTGTTTTTGTTTATTTTTTTCAGTATTTTAAAGCGGGGGTCGTCAGCTGTGCACGCGCGGGAGTTGAGTCCCAAGCGACGATAACAACACACGCTAAACACGCTGATGGCCATCTGTTGATTTAATGTGAGATTTAACGTGAGATTTAATGTGAGATTGACCTTGGGAGTATAATAGTTGTCGCCTGCAGCATATCTTGTAGGGTAATTATGGGGTAGTGTGTCTAGATATTTATCAATACTATGGGCATATTGTTTCTTCTTTAAGTCAAAAACGAACAAACAGATGTGTAATATACAGAGCTTATGAATATTTACAATACCAAGAGATTTGAAGAGAGGAGTGGTATGGGAATGAAAGTCAGAAAATGAGATTAGGCGGACAATTTTCTTTTGTAGAAGCGTGATTGGATTTAATAGCGTTGAATAAGTATTCCCCAAATCTCTATACAGTAAATTATGTGTGGCAATATCAACGAGTTATATAGCAAGAGAAGTATATATTTAGGAACATAGTGTCGAATTTGAGAAATGATTCCAACTTTGGGGGCAATTATTTTCCTGACTTATTTTCAAGTGGGATTTCCAATTGATATGATAATAATAATAATAATAATAATAATAATAATAATAATAATAATAATAATAATAATAATAATAATAATAACTTTATTGCATCCTTAGAAATACAATGTTTCTATCAGTTAATAGCAATAAAGATTGGTTGTGATAACTACTACTAAAAAAAGAAAGTTAGTTGTTAAAAAAGATAAAGCAAGTGTTACATATCAAATGGCATTTTTATTTCTTGATTGAAATGCATTATGAATATAGTTGCCAATCTTTTTTATTATTACATCATCTTTTGAAGTCATCAAGAAATTAAATTTCTGGAGATCATCCTGGGTTTCTTGTGAAATATAGTGCCTTGTAT